AGCCCTGCACCTTGAGCCGGCGCATCTTCTCTCCGCAGAGCCTCTCTCCAACCCAACTCGGTCCAACTTTCCCTCCCAGGCTCCTGCAGGGGCGTCCTCCGGGCAACCGACTGCGGCAGGAGCGACCCCGGCCACGAGACCCCAGAGCTGCACGCACTGCGCCCGCCGTCTCTCTCCTGCCGCCCACCCTCGCCGCCCCGCGGTCTCAAGCTCCGCCTTGCGCTCCGGGGCTCTCGCCCGCCCTTGGCTTCTCGCCTCTGGGCCCTTCGTCCCCGGACACCAAAGCCATCTCAACTCCCACCCTGGTCAACCTCCCGGGAAGCTCAGCAAACACCCTGTCCCCCTTCTTTGCACACGCCTCGACCACCCTGCCAACACCTAGCACAACCTCCAGTGAGAAAGCCCAGCCCAAGTCGCCCGTTACACCGGCCGCCGAAGGTCTCCATCACCAGCAGATACTCCAATGCACTCTCATTCATACTCATTTTCATTCTCGTTCTCTCTCTCGCTTCCTCTCTCCAAAGACTCCTAACCAGACTGGCCGATCCTCTTCAGTGGCACTCCTTTTCATTCATCCTCTCCCGTCACCACCACCACCACCACCACCAGCACCAACACACGCGCACACGCACGCACAGGTACACGCGCACACGCACGCACTGGTACACGCGCACACGCACGCACAGGTACACGCGCACACACACGCGCACGCGCACGGGCGCACACACGCACCCCCTACGCAGACAGCCCACTCCACTTTTCAGACGCCCACCTCCTACATACACCCCTCCCCTAAACAGACTTCCACCCACTCACCATCTGTAGCCTCCCTTCCGACCCCCGCTCCGCCCGCCAGGCTTCCCCTCCCCAAGAAGCGGACCCTCACAGTGGGAGGCGGGGACCCCGGCCAGACGCTAGGCTGCTGAGCGCCGTACTGACCTCTGCCCGCCCGGGAAACTAACAAAGGCGGCGCGCAAGTCCAGACGCGAGAGTGCCGAGCGGCGGCCGCGGGGCGGACGAGCCTGGGCCGGGCGGTTGAGCGCCGGTAGGTGGCTGCTCCGGAGTCAGGAGGCGGCGGCGCCGGAAGACGTGGATCTCTGGCCGCGTGCGCGCCGTTCGGTTGCAGCCGGCACCATGGGCTGCTGTACCGGACGCTGCTCGCTCAACTGCCTCTGCGTGCTGCAGCTGGTGAGTGCCCCGCGCGCCCCGAACCCTGACCGGCCCAGGCCCTGGGACCGGCCTCCCAGCTCCCTCCGCGGAACCGCAGCTCCGGACGCGGGGGCGGGTGGGCCGGGCGCTCCCGCCGCTGCCATGCTCGCAGCTGCTCCCACTCGTACTGCCCTCCGGCTGCGGCCACTCACCGGGTCGCGTCTGCCCCGAGGGGATAAATAGAATAAGAAAAAAAAAACAACAGCTAAAATCTCTAACAATAAAAGGTAAAAGAGAGTAGAAGATAAGTAGAAAAATAAGCACAAGTAGAAAGTACATATTAAAATACTAGAAAAGGGCCGGCCGAGTGGCGCGGTGGTTAAGAACTGGCTTGGGACGCCAGAGGGCCCCGGTTGGGATCCCACACATAAGGGCCAGTGATACTGCCCTCCACAGCTAAGATGCTGAACAACAGCGCAACCTGGAGCTGGGCTCTGTGAGTCCCCGGCATCAGTGTAGGCTGCAGCCCCTGTGGCAGTGGGTTGCCATGGGCTACCGTGTGTAGCCAGCAGCCATCATGAGCCGCCAGCAGCCGCAGTGAGCGGCCGTCCAGAAGCCGGCGACTGATCTGCCTCGCCCGGGAAGAGCACAATGATGGTGCCAACTTGGGCCAGTGAAGCAACGTCCTCCACAACTAAACTGAAGAACAAAACGACAGCAACTTGTCTGTTCCCCTTCCCCCAACTCCCCAGCACTGTTCCCATCCCCCAATTCCACAATAAAAAAAATATTTAAAAAAAAATAGTAGAAAAAACAAAGAAATATATCAGCAACCACAGTAAATTGTGTAAATTGACTAAACCCTCCAATTAAAAAGCAAAAGTTGTCAAACAATTAAAAAGCCCTAATAAAAAACCTAAATATATATTTTTTAATAGACACACCTTTCACATAAAGACACAAAATGATTGGAAGTTATTAAGATAAAAAATACACCATGCAAATTCTTACCAAAGAAATCTGGAGTAACCATATTAATATCAGACAAGTATACTGAATGACAAAAGGTGTTACTAGATATAGAGGGTTACTAATAGTGATTAAAAGTTTAATTCATGAAAAAGATGTAATAATTCTAAGGTTGTATGTTCCTAAAAATTTAGCCTCAAAGCATATAAAACAATTTTTTTTGTTCTATACATAGAAAGACAAATGAAAGTGCTTTACATTTGAGAAAAGTTTTTGAAATTGAGATATGATACATATACTATAAAATTCACACTTTAAAATTTACAACTCAGTAGTCTTTAGTGTAGTACATTCACAAGTTTATGTAACAATTGAGATAGAAAAATTACAGGCAGTCAGGGAAATGGCCAAGGCAGAGGGAATCAGGGCGGAAACCATAACAGAGCCAGGAGAAATAATTTTAATAGCTGACAGATAGGTTTACATCACAGGGCCCGCCAGAATGACAAACTCAGGAAAGGGAGGAGGAAAAGTTTTTTTCAAAGCCTATAACAAGGAAGTCAGAAGTTAGGGTTCTGCCTCCAGAGGGTGGGATTAAGACAGGTTGATTAACTTAACCTAATGCAGTCAGGAACTCCCTGATAGAATGAGCAGAAGACAATGATATCTTCAAAGCCCCAGCCTTGAGATAACATACCCCTACCAGAACAGAGACATCAATTATGCTCTGAGGCAACTAGACAGTTTCGAGAAAACGCCTCCTCCAGGCTAAGTTTCTCCCCAGATATGCAAAAAAAAAAAAAAAATTTTGCATTTATATATATATATATATATATATATATATATACTTTTTTTTTAATATATATATAAAAGGAGTAGTATCCCACCTAACGTGCGGGCACCCCAGTCGGGACCCCTTCTCAGTTTGAGAGCTGTTACCTTTTGCTCTAATAAACTATCCTCTGCTGCAAACCTGACCTCTCTGGTCCGTGTCTCCATTCTTTGGTGCTGCGAGACCAAGAACCCAGCACACAAACACACACATCAGAAAAATCCTGCTTCACCACCATCAAAATACAGAATGTTTCTGTCCCTCCAAAAAGAAACCCTGTACCATTAACAGTCACTCCCCCTCCTCCCAGCCCCTGGCAACCACTAATCAACTTCCCATCTACATGGATTCACCCATTCTGAACATTTCATGTACATGGAATCATACAATAGGCGGCCCTTTGTGACTGGCTTCTTTCACTTAGCATAAAGTAAGACTCATCCACGCTGTAGCACATATTAGTACTTCATTCCTTTTTAAGCTTGAATAATGCACATTTTGTTTACTCATTCAGCAATTGATGGATATTTGAGTTATTTTCACTTTTTGGCTATTGTGAATAATTGCTGCTATGAACATTCATGCACAAGTTTTTGTGTGGACATAGTTTTTCAATTCTCTTGGGTATATACCCAGGAGTCGAATTGTTGGGATATGGTAACTCTATGTTTAATTTTTTGAGGCACCCCCAAACTGTTTTCCTAAGTGGCTACACCACACTACATTCCCACCAAGAATGTATGAGGGCTTCAATTTCTCCACATCCTCACCAACTCGTTTCTAATCTTTTCTTTTAATTATAGCCATCCTAGTGGGTGTGAAATACTATCTCATTGTGGTTTTGATTTGCATTCCCCTAAAAATTTGTCCTCTTAATGTAAGTAGTATAACTGGATTTTAAGATGATAAAATCATCTCTGATATTTTATCTGCATTTCAGCTTTCATTTTCACAGGATACTAGTATTCTTATTAACTGTCTTATCAGGATGACTTTTCCTCTCAAGGGACATCAGCGTGTTCCTTTCTCCACAGGTTTAAGCAAATACATCATTTGTTGCTTGCATGTCCTCCTATGTTGTTATTCTCTGTGAAGTATAGTATTCAGGCTTTCTATGCTGAAGCTTAAAAATTTTTTTTTAATGTGTATTAGCTACTATTCCATTTTTCTGATCATCGTGCATAAAGTAAAGGGATAAGAGGCTTTTAAAATATCTTGTATGTCATGGAATTTTCTTTTGGTTGAAAAATACTTATACCATGCTGAAATTCCATTCTAAATACAGAGCTGAAGGTCGTGAATGAAATGTTTACATATGTAATTCCTAAATCATTTATGGCTTTAGCCATGTTTGTCCTTTGCCTATGACAATTATATGGCACTTTTATTTCCGAAATTTTCATTTTCTAAATATGTCTTAGTTTGCTGTACTAGACACAGAAATCATGGCAACAAAATAAAGGAGAAGCATAGTTAATTTCATCATTAATTTATTAGACTGTTGAACTTGAAGAAACTTCTATTTGATTTGTATAGCCAAATATTTGATATACAAAATATGGATATTTCTTAATATCACTAACTGGTGCACAGCAAAATACAATTTAGGAAAAAGTTTCCAGCAACATGTTTTCTAGAAGGAACTTTGCACTGAAGAGTCATAACTTAGGCATATTTTTAAAATCCTTCAACGTTTAAATGACTGAAAATAGCAAGATAGAGCAATTGTTTTGAGAAACTTTTTATTTAGCCTTCATAGACTGACTCAAAGCTATAAGAAATTGTCTTCTTAAAGTATAAGTCTGTCGTTTTGAAGTTTGGTCAGTGGAACAAAATGTACCTAATTTTTGGTTAACATTTTCACCTTTTCTTCACTTGTGGTTTATTCTTCATTCTATCTGGATTGAACATGATTTAGCATAGATGTGGCTGCACATCATTTTGGAGCTTTTCCTCCTCATGAAATTTTGAGGTGGCAAGAATTCCCAAAGAAGGCCTTTTTTTCAAGATACATGACTGGAATGAAATTAAGTATTAAAATTAAATTTGGTTTATAAAAGGTATGCTGTTTGATGTTATGAATGTTATATGTCAAACAGTTCTAAAGTGATAAAAATTGTGATCTTTATCAATATACTTTAATTATTGTTTATATTTTAAAATTTATATATTATATAAATATACAATGTCTATGCATTTTATTTTTTGAAATTATCTATTTTGTATACATGTTTGCTCAAAGATTATATCATATTTTTCCTTAGAAGTTATAAAGCTAATGTACTCTCTTAATATTTATATTAACTGTCAATCTATTTCCCTATGTGCTTAGGTATTTGAAAGTTCTCAATAATTCTCTTTGTACTTTATATTAATAGTTTTCATAATAATCATTAATTATTGCTTTATTTTAACTTATCAGTAAAATCTTAATGTTTCACTTCATGTTACATCTCAAATATATACCTACATTTGAATATTTAGATATCAACAACAAATTCAAATGACAAACGTACTTCTCATTTCTGATAGTGTTTACACTGTTTGTATTTGATATTAACCTAAGTGATTGCTCTTATCACTGAGAAAGCACTGATGCCTTAAATGATCCTATATGCTCCCACCTAAAGCTTGTCCTTCACTTGGTCACCAGACCCCATCCACTTTACCTACTCAAGGATATTATTGCTCCAGAAATTCTCCAAGTTCTCTTCTTACTTCACTAATTTTCACTCTTTTGATCTTGATCAGTATTAGCATACAAGTGTGCTATAGTTTCTCCCATCTAAAATAAAATAAAAATAGAACAATACTCTTGACTCGGAATCATCAGCCACCAGCTACCATCTCATTTATTTATTCCCCTTTCTAGCAAATATCCATAAATGAGTTATTATATTCACTCTTCGATCCCACTTCCCCCTTTATAAGCCCATTCCAATCAACTTCCCCAAACCTACCCCTCAACTCCACACAAACTGCCTGCATCGTTTTCATCAAAAACTTTCATGCATTAACTCCATTGATCCATCCCTTAACTTGACCTGTCAGCAGCATATAACATAGTTAATCACTCCTTGCTCCTTGGTAACTTTTCTCTCTTGGTGTTTAGGACACCATCCTTTCTGAGTTTTCTTCCTGCCTCACTGGGTGCTCCTTCTAGTCCAGTTTTGCTCATTTTCCCTCTTCTCTCAATGTTAAATGCCTCCGGGCCCACCCTTGCTCCTCTTTCTCTGTC